CTTTACCTCGAAAGTTACAATACAAATGTATATAAATAAATACATATATATCAATATAATTAGAATAAAAGTGACACTTCAAACTTTTAAATAATTGTAGATAAAAGAAATCCATTGACATGTAGTCAGCCCTAAAAACTAACATACAAGTAGCATTATACAGAGTGAACAGGTTGTATTTAGGGATATCTATGTATATATGTATATATATGCAAATTTTAGCAATTAATAAACAAAGAGGTCATGACTTTGAAGGAGAAGGACAATGGAATATGAAAGGGTTTGGAGGGAGGAAGGGAACAATTCAACAATTTATTATAATTGCAAAACAGAAAATTAAAAATGCAGAAAGGAAAAACTGACAAAAATCCAAAATAAAAGAATAAATCAGTACCAAATGTAATGAATGTGAACTTTAAAACTATGAATCCAAAGGTAAACATTCTCAGAAGAAATATGATTGCAAAATTTCCTTTTGCTTTCACAGTTGCAGCACTCTGAGGAGAAGCGATGAAGATGTGGACTATCAAGAGACAGACCACATTGAAAGCAGCTCAATGCTTCAATTACCTATTAGTACAAGCTGACTTTGTTAGAAAGTAAAAATACTGTATTAGGTGTTATTTCAAAGGGGGGGGGGGCGCACTAGAAACAAAGTAGCAGAGAAGGTTGGAAGTCTGGAAACAGGAAATGACTATGCTACCAAAAACAAACAAACACCCAAAGCAGAAGAAAAAAAACATTAAGTAAGACTATCATGTATCAAAAAGAACCTAATAATAATTAATGCAGCAAAATGACTTTCTAATGAGCAGGAAGTTTTACAATATTAATTCTATTTATATGTTATGTAACTATATATAATAATTCTATTCTGCAAAATACTCAACAATAGATTGACATTAATAGATACATCAGTAAGAAGAGTCAAATAATTGTAACTATTTCTGTGCAGTAGTGTTAGGAACGGAATGCTTTCTGCTTTTACTCTATGTATTATTACCCCTGCTTACCAATTATTATAAGCATCATGTGAGTATGTGCACATGTGCATGCAGCTATACATGCATTGTGAACACTTGCATTTCAAGCATCTTCTATGATCAGGCTTCATGTTACTTGTTAAGACAGGGTCTCTTAATGAATTTTGAACTTATCAAAGCTACTACTCTGGCTAATGAGCTCCAAGGATCTACCTACCTCTACCAATCTCCTTCAACAATTGGTTTTCAGATAGATACTGCCATTTTTATGTGGGTGCTGGGCATCTAAACTCAAGATATCATGCTTGTGTGGCAGCTACTTTACTGACTGAGCCATTGTTTCTTTAATAAAAATAAATATAAGCTGAACTTGGACTCCTTTTGGAATTTTTTCTGCTAAAATTTTAGGAGGTATATTCTCGTTCCTTTTCTGAAGATACATATGCCATTTCCCATCTACGAGCCATGAATATTATATATATTGTATGTGACTGTTCATTTTACTGATACCACCTTGTGAACGTGGTAGCATTTCAGTAATTCTTCCAGGTGTAAACTGGAACTTCTGGAAAGTAACATATAATTTTTTCTTAACCATCTCTCAATTTTTGGCACCTGGATTGCTTGTAAGTTTTTCTGTGAAAAAACACATTGAAGTTAGCAATCTTTGAATCAGTGACTTCTCACTTTAATTCTTTATCTAAATAATATGTAAACAAGTTTTCCCATAGTACAAACTGAATTGTAATGTGATGGTAGTTTGGGTATCATCCAACTTGTGCTGTCTGTGCACTTATCACAACATGTTTTAATCAACCTAATATGTTGGAAGGAATATAATGTCTACTAAAAGGAAATGAAATAAATATACCTTATATTAAAAATTTAACATAAAATCACAGTTTACTCTTGTGGAAATTAACAATTTATTAAGTAAAATATTAGGTTACATAGTGGACTCATTCCATTTTTAAAAAGAAAAATATGCTGAAAATTCTGAAAGAACATAAAATCTTTATAATGATTTTCTGTAAGAACTGAGAAAATTTGAGAATAAGCTTTTTAATTTTATTTCTTTATATTTTCAAGTTTTGAAATAAAAAGTTACATATACATTTTAGAAAGGCAAATAAATAATAAACTGTATACAACTGATTAAATGTTTTTCTTCAACATAATTTTTGCATGGTTATACTATGGGGGAAAGCAGTAGAAATATTTTTAAAAAAAGATCCCACACATCCTTCTTACCCTATAATAACCAGTTCACATTGTCTGGTGGCCATTTGTCTCTGATCATATATTTGAAAAATAACTAAAGTCACACTTTATATCACTGAGCTAATTTTGAAACTAACATTACATAATGCACAAGCCATATATATTTTAATGACAAATAGCATATATAAACAACACATTTACTTATTTATTGCCTTAAAGCTAGAGCTAGTAACTGGGGATATAACCCGTATAGTAAAGCATATACTTCACAAACATGAGGAGTTATATTTTTAAAAGGCTAGATGTAGTGTTATGCCCTTCTAATTCCAGCACTAGGGAGGCAGAGACATGAGACCAGTTGGCCTAATTGAAAGCTCTAGACCAGTGTGAGACCTTGGGTCAAAACAAACAACAACAAAAGACACAAATAGACACAAATAAACAGGGCAAACGACTTCTGAAGAATGACACTCATACACACACACACACACACACACACACACACACACACACACATATATATATATATATATATGTACATGTGATTTCTCTACTCCTGCACATACACTCACAGACAATGATATAATTGGACATAAATCGGTGCACACACACACACACACACACACGCACACAGACACAGACACAATCTAGAATTTTTTTTCCATTTTGGTTATAGCCAGTAACTATAGGGAATACCATTATGTATAAATTATCTATATATTTTTTCTGAGTCTAATGCTTTAGCTACCTGGCCATCACAGTCTTCTAAAACTTATCCACCTTTTCTTGAGACAAGCTCTCCTTATGCAGGCCAAGCTGGCCTTTAACTCTCACTCTGCCTGATTTAGTCCATAGAATGCTGAGATGGCAGGTACCACACCCAGCTTGCATTATTCACATTGAAAATAATTAGGAAAATGCTTTGGATAAAATGTTTAAAATTACAAATTATCAATGTTTCTGATTAAGGCAGAATGGAAGTAAAGGAAAAAAAGAAGCTCAGACAACACCTTAAACCCATACCCATTGCTCTAATTAGGTAAAACTGATATAAATTCACCTATATTATCTAAATTGCAAGCTTACTATAACACCCCAAAAAGAAAGATTCTTTAGCATCAGCATGAATTTGACTTCTTGACTTTCAAAATTCTCACAGCATCCTATACTTACTTTTTCTCCATGCCTTTACCACAACTGAAAATTATCAGTACCCCCAAATAATTTTAAGGTCCATTAAAAATGCCTGGCACAAATTTGGCGCTCAATAAATATTTATTGAATGAATGAATGGATGAATAAATGAGGTGATAGCACTTTGTCAACTCTAATTCAAAATGTATTGATATTTCAATTGTTATTGTTGTTACTTTTTGTTATCACACAGATGACTGCAAATCTTTAGATATTACTTGCCTAACTATAAGTTTATTATATGTCTTTTATGTTTTCATATCAACCAGAGGCATGAGTAGCAACATTGCTAGCTGTGCCTGAGGAGATTTGAGACTTAGAGAATCAAAAAAAAAAAAGCTCTCTAGCTCAGCATCTTGGGATTTAAGTTATAGTTACCATTATGTGGATACATGGCAGTGAATGGTCAGGAACCCAGGAAGTCAGTGATATCTGAAGAAGCATGAAGATCCTGGAGGTCAAAAACAAACTAATAGTAAGTGACCCAGATAGCATGGTTAAGACTGGAGAATGATAAGTGACAAGGTATTAAACTGAGAAGGAAAGTTAAATTTCCAAGCATTAAAATTCCAAGCATGAAGCTATGACTGTAATTCTAAGTAAGGTGTATTTGACTTCAGTACCTCACTATATCCTTTTAACATGGTATCAGGAAATATTTGCACCTACTTTCACGTGCATGAGCAAGGGGGTGGTATAGTAGCTGGTTTTAGGATGACTTGATTCAAATAAGGCTCAGACAGTGACAGGTTAAAATATGACACATGAGATTTTATAAAATTCTACATACAATATGGGAACCATAAAACTTTAGTTCCCCTCACTTTCATCCCAATTTTCCTCATCAGTTACTATGAAAAAGAGTGGTAGAATCATGAATTTTAAAAGCAGGCTAGCTGGGTTCAATCCTAGCGCTTTTATTTACTAGTTCTGTCCTTTAGACAAGTCACTTCACCACTATACACCACTTTCCTCATCTGTAAAACAGAAATAATAATAACTCCTCTCTCAATGAGTTGGGAAGATTAAATGAGTTGATGCATGTAAGGATCTTAGAATGGTGCCTGGATACAGCAAATGCTTTGCATTATTGTTATTATTATTATTATTGTTATTATTATTATTACCACATAGGGACAAATATTAAAAACAGACAAAATAAATCAATATATGCCACTATCTTTACATAGATTATAAAACTAGTCTTTAAGCATGAAATCTTCCCATAAAAAATTTTAATTTGTGTTTGAACATTGTTGACTATCAAAACCATAACCATTGCCTAAGTTGTAAAATTACTGCATCAGTTCTATAGAGCCTCTTTCTTAACACAACCTTTTAAAAGTTATAAAGAATATACATCTTCTAATTTCAAAAAAGTCACAAATAATACTACTGTTGTCCCCTAAAATTTAATCTGTAAGAGCTAATATGCTTTTAAATATTCTGAAGCTAGTTCTACTAGAAGCAGTAATAGTTAATTTGAGAAGTTAGTCTAAAAATATCTGCACCTAGAAAGACTTAGATGGAAAGACTAGATTTGAAAAATCCCCAAACTAGGTAAATATTGGGAAAAATAAACTATAAAACAACTTTCAATACCTGTATATGGAAGACACTGGAAAACCTGAATATCGGAAACCAATACACAGTAGACACTGGTAGGTGCAGATATGGAGCCTGCTGATGGAAGACTGGGTAGTTACAGGAACACCTGAAGATATTGGAAGACACAGATGTTGGAAGATGTGGCGATGTTGGAGGACAGGCAGATGCTGGAAGCCCTGGAGATGCTGGAAGACCTGGAGGTGTAGGAAGACATGTACTTTTTGGAAGACATGGATTTTTCCAGAAGAAGTGGATTTTTGGGAAGTCGTGGATTTTTCAGGAAGACGTGGATTTTCAGGAAGATGTGGATTTCCAGGAAGACATGGATTTCCAAGGAAGACGTGGATTTCAAGGAAGACGTGGATTTTCAGGAAGACGTGGATTTTCAGGAAGACGTGGATTTTCAGGAAGACGTGGATTTTCAGGAAGGCGTGGATTTCCAGGAAGGCGTGGATTTCCAGGAAGGCGTGGATTTCCAGGAAGACATGGATTTTCAGAAAGACGTGGATTTCCAGGAAGGCGTGGATTTCCAGGAAGATGTGGATTTTTGGGAAGACTTGGATTTTCGTGAAGCTGTGGATTTTGGGGAAGCTGTGGATTTTTGGGAAGACGTGGATTTTCAGGAAGACAAAGATTTCCAGGAAGACGTGGATTTCTGGGAAGCTGTGGATTTTTGGGAAGTTGCGGATTTTTGGGAAGACGTAGATTTTTCAGGAAGGCATGGATTTTCAGGAAGACATGGATTTTTTGGGAAGACTTGGATTTCTGGGAAGACTTAGATTTCTGAGAAGACTTGGATTTTCAGGAAGACGTGGATTTTCAGTAAGACGTAGATTTTTGGGAAGACATGGATTTCCAGGGAGACCTGGATTATTTGGGAAGACGTGGATTTCCGGGAAGACATGGATTTCCAGGAAGACGTGGATTTCCTGGGAAGATGTGGATTTTTTGGGAAGACTTAAATTTCCGGGAAGACCTTGATTTCCAGGAAGACATAGGTTTGCAGAAAGACATGGATATCCAGGAAGACCTGGATGTTTTGGGAAGATTTGGATTTCTGGGAAGACATGGATTTCTGGGAACACATGGATTTCTAGGAAGATGTGGATTTTCAGGAAGACGTGGATTTCCAGGAAGACATGGATTTCCAGGAAGACGTGGATTTTCAGGAAGACGCGGATTTCCAGGGAAGATGTGGATTTTTTGGGAAGACTTGGATTTCCAGGAAGACCTGGATTTTAAGGAAGACGTAGATTTTCAGGAAGACGTGGATTTCCAGGAAGACCTGGATTTTTTGGGAAGACTGGGATTTCCGGGAAGACATGGATTTCCAGGAAGACTTGGATTTCCAGGAAGAGCTGGATTTTTTGGGAAGACTTGGATTTCCAGGAAGACGTGGATTTTCAGGAAGACGTGGATTTTTTGGGAAGACTTCGATTTCTGGAAAGACGTGGATTTCTGGGAAGACATGGATTTTCAGGAAGACATAGATTTTCAGGAAGACGTGGATTTCCAGGAAGACATAGATTTTCAGGAAGACGTGGATTTCCAGGAAGACGTAGATTTTCAGGAAGACATGGATTTCCGGAAGACCTGGATTTTTTGGGAAGACTTGGATTTCAGGGAAGATTTGGATTTTCAGGAAGACGTGGATTTCCAGGAAGACGTGGATTTTTCAGGAAGGCGTAGATTTTTAGGAAGACATGGATTTCCAGGAAGACGTAAATTTCCAGGAAGACCTGAATTTTTTGGGAAGACTTGGATTTCCGGAAGACGTGGATTTCCAGGAAGACATGGATTTTCAGGAAGACGTGGTTTTTCAGGAAGACGTAGATTTTCAGGAAGACGTGAATTTCCAGGAAGACGTGGATTTCTGGGAAGACATTGATTTCTGGGAAGACATGGATTTCTGGGAAGACCTGGATTTTCAGGAAGACGTGGATTTCCAGGAAGACCTGAATTTTTTGGGAAGACATGGATATCTGGGAAGACATGGATTTCCAGGAAGACGTAGATTTTCAGGAAGACGTAGATTTTCAGGAAGACGTGGATTTTCAGGAAGATGTAGATTTTTAGGAAGACATGGATTTCCAGGAAGACGTGGATTTTCAGGAAGATGTGGATTTTTAGGAAGACATGGATTTCCAGGAAGACGTGGATTGTCAGGAAGACGTGGATTTCCAGGAAGACGTGGATTTTCAGGAAGACGCGGATTTCCTGGGAAGATGTGGATTTTTTGGGAAGACATGGATTTCCAGGAAGACGTAGATTTTCAGGAAGACGTGGATTTCCTGGGAAGATGTTGATTTTTTGGGAAGACATGGATTTCCAGGAAGACCTGGATTTTCAGGAAGACCTGGATTTTTGGGAAGACTTGGATTTCCGGGAAGACATGGATTTTCAGGAAGACGTGGATTTTCAGGAAGACATAGATTTTCAGGAAGACGCGGATTTCCAGGAAGACATGGATTTCCAGGAAGACCTGGATTTTTGGGAAGACTTCGACTTCCAGGAAGACATGGATTTCCAGGAAGACTTGGATTTTTGGGGAAGACTTGGATTTCCGGGAAGACATGGATTTCCAGGAAGACGTGGATTTTTCAGGAAGACTTAGATTTTTAGGAAGACGTGGATTTCCAGGAAGACCTGAATTTTTTGGGAAGACTTTAATTTCCAGGAAGACGTGGATTTCTGGGAAGACATGGATTTCCGGGAAGACGTGAATTTTCTGGAAGACGTGGATTTCCAGGAAGACTTGGATTTTTGGGAAGACTTGGATATTTGGGAAGACATGGATTTCCAGGAAGACATGGATTTTCAGGAAGACGTAGATTTTCAGGAAGACGTGTATTTCCGGGAAGACCTGGATTTTCAGGAAGACCTGGATTTTGGGGAAGACTTGGATTTCTGGGAAGACATGGATTTTCAGGAAGACATGGTTTTTCAGGAAGACATAGATTTTCAGGAAGACATGGATTTCCAGGAAGACGTAGATACCCAGGAAGACATGGATTTCCAGGAAGACCTGAATTTTGGGAAGACATGGATATCTGGGAAGACATGGATTTCCAGGAAGACGTAGATTTCCAGGAAGACATGGATTTCTAGGAAGACCTGGATTTTTTGGGAAGACTTGGATTTTCAGGAAGACGTAGATATTCAGGAAGACGTGGATTTCCAGGAAGACCTGAATTTTTTGGGAAGACTTTAATTTCCAGGAAGACGTGGATTTCTGGGAAGACATGGATTTCCGGGAAGACGTGAATTTTCTGGAAGACGTGGATTTCCAGGAAGACTTGGATTTTTGGGAAGACTTGGATATTTGGGAAGACATGGATTTCCAGGAAGACATGGATTTTCAGGAAGACGTAGATTTTCAGGAAGACGTGTATTTCCGGGAAGACCTGGATTTTCAGGAAGACCTGGATTTTGGGGAAGACTTGGATTTCTGGGAAGACATGGATTTTCAGGAAGACATGGTTTTTCAGGAAGACATAGATTTTCAGGAAGACATGGATTTCCAGGAAGACGTAGATACCCAGGAAGACATGGATTTCCAGGAAGACCTGAATTTTGGGAAGACATGGATATCTGGGAAGACATGGATTTCCAGGAAGACGTAGATTTCCAGGAAGACATGGATTTCTAGGAAGACCTGGATTTTTTGGGAAGACTTGGATTTTCAGGAAGACGTAGATATTCAGGAAGACGTGGATTTCCAGGAAGACATGGATTTTTTGGGAAGACTTGGATTTTCCGGGAAGACGTGGATTTCTTGGAAGACGTGGATTTTCAGGAAGATGTAGATTTTCAGGAAGACATCGATTTACAGGAAGACCTGGATTTTTTGGGAAGACTTGGATTTTTCGGGAAGACGTGGATTTCCTGGAAGACGTGGATTTTCAGGAAGACGTAGATTTTCAGGAAGACGTGGATTTCCAGGAAGACCTGGATTTTTTTTTGGAAGACTTGGATTTCCGGGAAGACATGGATGTTCAGGAAGACATGGATTTTTTTGGAAGACATGGATTTCCAGGAAGACGTGGATTTTCAGGAAGACGTGGATTTTTAGGAAGACTTGGATTTCCGGGAAGACATAGATACCCAGGAAGACATGGATTTCCAGGAAGACGTGGACTTTCAGGAAGACGTAGATTTCCAGGAAGACATGGATTTCTAGGAAGACCTGGATTTTTTGGGAAGACTTGGATTTTCAGGAAGACGTAGATATTCAGGAAGACGTGGATTTCCAGGAAGACATCAATTTTTTGGGAAGACTTGGATTTTCCGGGAAGACGTGGATTTCTTGGAAGACGTGGATTTTCAGGAAGACGTAGATTTTCAGGAAGACGTGGATTTACAGGAAGACCTGGATTTTTTGGGAAGACTTGGATTTTCCAGGAAGACGTGGATTTCCTGGAAGACGTGGATTTTCAGGAAGACGTAGATTTTCAGGAAGACTTGGATTTTCCGGGAAGACGTGGATTTCCTGGAAGACGTGGATTTTCAGGAAGACGTAGATTTTCAGGAAGACGTGGATTTCCAGGAAGACCTGGATTTTTTTTTTTTTGGAAGACTTGGATTTTCAGGAAGACTTGGATTTTTTTGGAAGACATGGATTTCCAGGAAGACGAGGATTTCCAGGAAGACCTGGACTTCAGGAAGACATGGATTTCTAGGAAGACGTAGATTTTCAGGAAGACGTAGATTTTCAGGAAGACGTGGAATTCCAGGAAGACAGGATTTCCAGGAAGACATTGAATTTTTGGGAAGACTTCGATTTCCAGGAAGACGTGGAATTCCAGGAAGCCATGGATTTCCAGGAAGACATGGATTTTCCAGAAGACATACATATTCAGGAAGACGTGGATTTCCAGGAAGACCTTCATTTTTTGGGAAGACTTTGATTTCCAGGAAGACGTGGATTTCCAGGAAGACATGGATTTCCAGGAAGACATGGATTTTCCAGAAGACATACTTATTCAGGAAGACGTGGATATCCAGGAAGACATGGATTTTTTTGGGAAGACCTTTATTTTTTGGGAAGACTTAGATTTCCAGGAAGACGTGGATTTCCAGGAAGACGTGGATTTTCAGGAAGACATGGATTTTCCAGAAGACATACATATTCAGGAAGACGTGGATTTCCAGGAAGACCTGGATTTTTTGGGAAGACTTGGATTTCCAGGAAGACGTGGATTTCCAGGAAGACATGGATTTCCAGGAAGACATGGATTTTCCAGAAGACATACATATTCAGGAAGACGTGGATTTCCAGGAAGACCTGGATTTTTTGGGAAGACTTGGATTTTCCAGGAAGACGTGGATATCCAGGAAGATGTGGATTTCCAGGAAGACATGGATTTCTAGGAAGACCTGGATTTTGGCGAAGACTTGGATTTCCAGGAAGACGTGGATTTCCAGGAAGACATGGATTTCCAGGAAGACCTGGATTTTTTGGGAAGACTTGGATTTTCCAGGAAGATGTGGATTTTCAGGAAGACATACATATTCAGGAAGACATGGATTTCCAGGAAGACCTGGATTTTTCAGGAAGACATCGATTTTTAGGAAGACGTGGATTTCCAGGAAGACATGGATATTTTTGGAAGACGTGGATTTTCAGGAAGACCTGGATTTTTTGGGAAGACTTGGATTTCCAGGAAGACATGGATTTCCAGGAAGACATGGATTTCCAGGAAGACATGGATTTCCAGGAAGACATGGATTTCCAGGAAGACATGGATTTCCAGGAAGACATGGATATTCAGGAAGATGTAGATTTTTGGGAAGACATGGATTTTTGGGAAGACCTGGATTTTGGGAAGACTTGGATTTTGGGGGAGACCTGGATTTTTGGGAAGACATAGAAATTTGGGAAGACATCGATTACCTGGAAGACATGGACTTCCTGGAAGCTATGGATTTGATGGAAGACATGGATTTTCTGGAAGATATAGATTGATGGAAGACCAGAACATTACTGGAAGACATAGATATTGGGAAGACATAAATTTTCTGGAAAACATGGATTTTTCAGGAAGATCTGAATTATCTGGAAGACCAAGATTATTTGGAAGACATGAATATGTGGAAGACTGAGAAGTTTCTGGAAGACATCGATCTTCAGGAAGACGTACATCTTCAGGAAGACCTATCTTGGCTGGAAGACCTGGAGGTTATTGGAAGACATGGATTTATTGGAAGACCTGGATTTAGTGGAAGACTTGAGTTTCTGGAAGACTTCAACTGGTGGAAGACATAGATTATCTGGAAGACCTGGATTTTTCTGGAAGACCTGGATTGACTGGAAGACACTGATTTTCCTGGAAGACGTAGGATTTTTTTCTGGAAGACTTGGATTGATGGGAAGACTTGTATTTTGTGGAAGACATTTTTCTGGAAGACATAGATTGTACTGGAAGACGTGGATTCTTCTGGAAGACGTGGATTTTCCTGGAAGACATGGATTTTCCTGGAAGGTCTGGATTTTATGGAAGACTGGATTTTCTGGAAGACTTGGAGGTTGTTGGACGACATGGATTGTCTGGAAGACATGTATTTTCTGGAAGTTCAGGATTGTCTGGAAGACCTTGATATTGTTGGAAGACTTGCAGTTGCTGGAAGACCTGGAGATGTTGGAAGACCTTGATACTGGCACCACTGGAAACCCTAGATATTGGAAACATCATAAGCATAGGATTTTTGGAAATACTGAATTTTTGAAAACATTGGTTATGTTGGACATTAAAGATTTCAGAGGCCCTGAATATTTGCATATTTGATAGTTAAAGCCCTATATTAGAAGTCTTGGATAATCAAGTCATTACATATCTTGTATTTTTGAATCCTTAATCAGTAGTTTTATGGATAACAAAAGACATGGACATTTACAAATCACAAATTTGAAAACCTTACCTATTGAGAGATAATAGAAAACCTCAACGTTATCATAGTCCTGTCAAAACACTGACATAATTTATAAGAATTAAGTTTAAATGATTTGGTAACTCTAGATTTTAAGAGCTCTAGATGCTAGATCTTGTTATTTATGAGTTCAGAATAATGGAACCCTGAGTGTTAGAAAATGAGAGTTCCTGTCAGGGAAGAATTGGCAATAAAAAGACATTGTCAGACTTGAAAGAATACAAGAGCGGGATGACAGAGAAAAGGACAATGAAATGCTATATTCTGGGCATGACAAAGCCATTGCTATCAGGAACTCACAATAAATGCAGTTACATTTTCTGAGCCTATCACAAGATGGGGTTTGTCAATCACAGATGAGAAAAAGACTAACGGGTTCCTGTTCTTCCTTAGGGAACTAGTGGCTACTTACTTATACTAGGAAAAGAGGAGTCACTGTCTTCAGATGTGACTCTAATGAGCCTCCCATACTCCAAAGGATAGTTCCACACTCGTGGTTATATGGATGGCCCTTGTTAAACTCAGTGGATCACAAAAGAGATATGAGTGTAGTAAACAGATTTATAGTGAAGATGACAATTGACAGGGAAAAGGAGGAGATTAGAAAGGATAGAGATGAGTAATCTTAATGCATTATGTATACATGCATGAAATAGTCAACTAATAAATTTGATTTTTAAAAAGACTGTTTTATCAAGATTTAGAAGATATTAATACATAACAACAACAACAACAACAACAATAATAATAATAATAATAATAATCTGATAACTGAAAAATACACTACTGGAAAAGCTACACTTGGGTGCTATGAAATAAATGGACTCCAGAAAGCCTGCAAATAGGAAATATTGAGTGATTGGGACCACAGAAGATCTGAAATGTATTTCTTTGGACTGTGAAAGACAGGGCTTAACTTTAAGTATTGCTAAAAATTATTGGAAGATGGGAGGCTTTTAACAACTCTAATATACTGGATAGATTAGAAAACACAAGAACTGGAAATGCTTCAGGCCAGAGACTAGAAAATAAGGATGTTGTGATGTGAGGAAAATCAAGTTATCCAAGCTATTGTCCTTTGTGGAACTTAGAAGACCTGAGTTAGAGATACTGAAAGATAGAAAGGCCTGATCTTAGAAATTAGAAGACCATGTTTGTATTATGATGTAGATATTAGATTAAAAGATAGTTAAATCATCGCACAGGCTTTTACGATCACAACATCTCTTCTACTAAAAAGAAAACAAGGGCAACAAGTAGATAACAAAGAGGAAGCAGAAAGTTCAAGGAAAAAAGTAATTTGAATGTGCTAGAACCTATCTCCACAATCTCAATGAACTGACTTTTTAGCATTTATGGATTGACAGAATACATGCCAGTAGAATGAAAATTATCGAAGAATATGTACTACTTTCAACTAGAAAAATTACTTGGTTCTAGATCAGGGTTCTGCAAATACTTTCTGTAAAAGATTGGTTTGTTAAAATTTAATAGTGTCTATTGAAACTACTCAATTATGCTATTAGTGTAAACACAGACAAGGAAAATTACAGCTAGAGCTATATTCCACTAAAACAAATTATTTTTAAAATGTGTATGTGGGTGGATTTGGCCTAAAGGCTGTAGTTTGCCAAGCTAGCTCTAGATATCAAACCTAGAGTATAGTAAACTTAAGCACATCCAAGGCTAGCATTCACATGCAAGAGTACAGATGCAACATTTTGGAGCCTAGTGGCATAAAAGATATTGTATAACATTTTGAAAATCAGGAGTTAAGACTGGCAATTGTTTAGGAGCCCTTATATTCAGAGACAAAATTAGTAGATTAGTAGCCTGGGCCTAAGTCCCAGTCATGGAAGATGATGGTCAGAAGGTAGAGCTAGTAAATTACTTACTTGGAGAGAGAGAGAGAGAGAGAGAGAGAGAGAGAGAGAGAGAGAGAGAGAGAGAGAGAGAGAGAGAGAGAGAGAGAGAGAGAGAATCCACCCCTGTAGACAGGGAAAATGAAGAAAATTATAATTTGGTAGGATCATCTCATGGATAAAAATATATGTAAAGTTCTGATCTCACTCCCTAGAACTTATGTAACAGCCATATGAGATGAAAGCTGAGGTATAGCCTCAAGTCCCTCAGTATACTAAAAAATGCTTACAAGGATAGGAATTGGCACATGAATTGCACACAAAGAACTCAATAAGTCAAAACTAGTAAGGTGCACTGGGAATGGCCCATGACTTAAAAATCAAACAACTATCAATGACACAGTGGGCATTCATGTGGGTCTTCTTACAAGGCAATGTGTGGATCACTACCAAAGATGATGATAGTCATGGAGAGAGGTACCAAGTACCAACAAGTACTAGGCACATACAGTCACACATATAGTGCCTAGCATACCAAATATTCAAAGTTGAAAGAAAAGGTTTGTGATGGAAGTCCACTGCAATAATACTAGTAGGCAGTAGTCTGAAATTGAATGAGGCAATGAAAGGTGCATAGTTTTAAAATAACAGTACCAAAGTCTTGATGAATCCCCTATTTTCTAAATACCAATCCTTAAAAATTCCTACATTCCATGATAAATGTATGAAATATCAAAAAGTTCAGAAGTCAGTTGTAAAGAATCTCCCTTGCCTATCAAGAATACTTTTCTTTGCACAATTATTTGTAAGGAAACTAAGCTAAAAATTTAGTGGTCATGAAGGCATTCCATACAGATTTATTATCACTACCTATATCAGAGTGCCTTAATTATATTTAAAGTGGGACTAAGTAGATGGATTTTCAAGAGTACTAGAATACATTTATGTCAAAAAGTCATTACCTCTAATCACCAGGTAAATCAACATCATGCAATAGTAATCACTTTATAAATACAGTATAAAAGAATTACTGAAAGAACAATGGAACTGTTTCAGGTGTCACTTATTAGCAAACAAGGAAGAATACTAAAATTCTTATTCTTTTTTTTAAAAACCATCATGTATACCATATTTTGAAGGGAATCAATATTAAAATTTTGCCAAAAATAAATTGTCATGTTTGAATATACAATACTTACAGTATAATAATAATAATAATAGCAATATTTTATTGAGCGCTTACTATGTGCCAGGCACTGTACTAAGCATCTTGTGTAATTTCAATTTGCCACCTTATAATACAGGCATAGTCCACCCCATTTTATAGATTAGAAAATGAAATCTACAATAGTTAACAAACATTCCCACTGTCACACAGCTAGCAATTGGCATGAGAAAATTTGAATACAGGTCTCTCTAATTCTAAGACCTATCTCTGTGCTGACTTCCCATACCCCAAAAAGCCAAAGGTTACCTTGCCAGGACTAAGTACCATTAACCCAAATACAGAACATCCCCAACTAAGAGAAGACAAAAATTCAATGTTCTAACCCTCACTTGAAGTCACTTGTATTTCTCAAGAGTTGATCAAGCACCTACTCTGAATACTTGTGATGATAGGCTAACTAGCAATACAAGGAAAAATCCATTGTCTCAAATACACTAAATTTATATTTAATTTTGCCTTATATGTAACTTATGCTAATGAAATTTTCTATTATCCCTTCACTTAACTTTATTTTCCATAAAATACATATTTTCTATTCACAACACAATTATTTTACAACACTGGCATCCAAAACCACTAAAAGATAAGGATCCTAGATGTAAGGATCAGTGATCAACATATTTCATGACAATGGCACTCTTCACAGATTGTTAAAAAGATGCCGCTGAAGTCCTTTATTAACTTTCGTGTGGTGGCAGACATATGATGTAAATGTGCAAATTAAATAGGTTTCTCCCATGTTTTCGACTTAAGATCATAAAGAAAAAGGTCTTTTAAAATCAACTGCCAGCCGGGCGGTGGTGGCGCACGCCTTTAATCCCAGCACTCGGGAGGCAGAGGCAGGCGGATCTCTGTGAGTTCGAGACCAGCCTGGTCTACAGAGCTAGTTCCAGGACAGGCTCCAAAACCACAGAGAAACCCTGTCTCGAAAAACCAATAAATAAATAAATAAATAATAAAATCAAATCAACTGCCAGCTTTTTAATTCATTCTATTTCAGCTGTTAAACTGTCCTTTCTCTCCACCTTCCTTTGTATTTTTCTCTGTGATTAAATATGCCTATCAAGAAGGAACTCTCTGTGTACTTCTTTATATTCAGCTCAAGAACTTGCCCAAACCGTTATATGACAGAAGCTGTATAAAACCAACTAAAAATACCGGACTCTCTGAACGTGGTTGACAATGAGGGCTGATGAGAAGCCAAGGACTGGGTTTTGATCCTACCGCATGTACTGACTTTGTGGGAGCCTAGCCTGTTTGGATGCTCACCTTCCTGGACCTGGATGAAGGGGGGAGAACCTTGAACTGCCCACAGGGCAGGGAACCCTGACTGCTCTTCAGACTGGAGAGGGAGGGGGAGGGGAGTGGGGTGTGGGAAGTGGGGGGAGGGGAGGGAAAAGGGAGGCAGGGAGGAGACAGAAATTTTTAATAAAATAAAATAAAACAAATAAAATAAATGTGCCAAGCCTGGGGAGATGGCTCAGTGGAGAAGAGTGCTTGCTCTACAAGCATGGGAATCCAAATTTGAATCACAAGAACCCACATTTAACAAAGTAAGCTAGACTGTAACCTCAAAGTTGGATGATGAAGTAGAAATAGGAGGGTTGGTAGGTCTTTCTGGCTGCCAGCATAATTTCAGGTTAAGTTAGAGATTT